CCCTGTATAGAATACTGCAGGAATACAGCAGTCAAGCTTGTCAAACTTGCTTTAAAGATATAGACCCGAAGTACTAATATTTTTTGGAGCTAGGGCATCTACATTGAGGCAAAATGTGCTACTGGCACGTGGGAGCTCTGATGTTAGACAGCAGTGGGAGAGAAGTACAAACAATGAGGAATATGCTGAGGGATAATTGCACCGAGTAGTGATCTTGGGAGCATGTTTGCAGTCTTTATTCTAGCTTTAGAAATAGGCAGTAAAATATCAACTTGAGTGACAGGAGTGAGTACTGTACTCTTCCTTTTGAGGCTTATTTTGCAAGCCTGTTTAACGTTATAAGGGCTTCTTTCGAATCCTATGAAGCATCAGTGTGGGGATGTAAAGTTTCTTTCTGAATTACAATACCGTGTTAACTTGTCTGTTGTTTTCTCTCCCTTCAAAGGAACAAACACATCATGATTGATTTAGGTACAGGTAATAACAACAAGATCAACTGGGCAATGGAAGATAAGCAAGAGATGATTGACATTATAGAAACTGTTTATAGAGGAGCCCGCAAAGGCCGAGGTTTGGTGGTATCACCAAAAGATTATTCCACTAAATACAGATACTGACATTTCTTTGGGGCTGCCTTTTTTTTAACCTTACATCCACTTAAATTTATTCTTGTGTATGTGTGTACATATCTATATTAAAAGGAAAAAAACCCACAAACCCTAAAAATCCTTCGACTTTGAGTATATTTTGAATTATTTAAAAGGTTTGAATGTTTGGAAAAGTAGAAGATACGGAGCCTGGAACTGTCTGACTGCAATCATATTGTAGTTGAATTTTGGGTTGGTTTCTTACTTATATGTTTTTAAAGACTTTACTCTGTGGTATCCTTTTGGCGTTACATATTTTTGCCCGCAAAAAGCCTGTCTGCAGAAAAATATTTCAGCTGGTTTTGCTTGCTTTTGTTACAGATATAACTGGGAAAACTATACTGTAGCTTTTTTAAAAGGATGAAGTAAGTTCCACTTACCTTAATTTCCTTTTCCAAATTAAATTTGAGAATGAAAACAAACATAATTGGATGCTGTGGAGCCCACAACATCAGAAGGATATTGACCAGTTGGAGTGAGTCCAGAGGAGGCCACGAAGATGCTCAGGGGGCTGGAGCCCCTCTGCTATGGGGACAGGCTGAGCGAGTTGGGCTTGTTCAGCCTGGAGAAGAGAAGGCTCCGGGGAGACCTTATAGCACCTTCCAGTGCCTGAAGGGGCTACAGGGAAGCTGGGGGGGTCTTTTTACAAGGGCCTGTAGTGACAGGACAAGGGGTAATGGGTTTAAATTGAAAGTGGGGAGGTTCAGATTGGATATCAGGAAGAAGTTCTTCCCGGAGAGGGTGGTGAGGCACTGGCACAGGTTGCCCAGAGAAGCTGTGGATGCCCCATCCCTGGAAGTGTTCAAGGCCAGGCTGGATGAGGCTTTGAGCAACCTGGTCTAGTGGAAGGTGTCCCTGCCCGTGGCAGGGGGGTTGAAACTGGATGGTCTTTAAGGTCCCTTCCAACCCAAACCATTCTATGATTCTATAAAATAATAATGCTGAAGACGAAGGCTTAGCGCTTCCCTCAGGACTTCTTTGTGCAGTATCTTAGTCTTCTGTATCCACTAAAAATGGGAATAAAACACTAAGGTGCATTTACAATATTTAGTGAAACTCAGAGAAAACGCCTTCCTCGACGGCATGCATGCACCTCCCCTCCCTACCCCCGCCCCTCACGTTAATTGGTGGTGTTGGACTTCCTTTTCACAGCGATGGTGCGTGCCGTAGTCGGTTTGAAGTGCTTCACAGGTTGTGCAGTGCCGGAGGGTGATTGCAGCTCCGGAGCTGGCTGCATAGTCAGAGCTGGAGAAAGGATGGGCTGGGCCTTCTCTCCTTTAACCTGTCTGTGTAATGGCATACTAAAATGCACGTATACTCCTGAGGCTTGGATTGGATTCAGCTACGGCATGGCTGTGGAGGGTTCCCCTTTGCATTTCTCCTAACTGCTTTTTTGTGGTAGCAAAGCCGGTGTTTGGTGTATGGGAGTTTTTAGCTGCTCCGTGTATATTTACAGAAGTAAGAAAAAACAAGATGGATTGTACAGAAAGGAGATACCTGTGCTTTGGGCCTAGTTTGTCACAAGACAGAGTAGAATACTCTGGTTTTTAGTCAAGTGTGTTTTAGAGGATTTAGAATGAGTCAAGGAAGTAAAACACGAGATCCCAATTTCTGCTTAAGCCAATCTGGTTTATGGTGATTATCAAGGGGAACCACTTAAAACAAATGCAGAAATGAAGTGTTACCAGGCCAACAGAATACCTCAGCTAAATAAAGGAGAAAGATGCTCCTTAAAAACTTCAGCAGGTGTTAATACTTGGCATGTATCAGAGTCCTCATTACTATCAAGAGATCATTCTAATCAATGCTGTAATCGGCGCAGATTTGCAGCTCATGTCAAACGTGGGGGTAGAGGTCGATGTGGCAGAGGACAGGCTGGAGAAAGGGGCGAGCAGGAGCCTCCTGAGGTTCAGAGGGAAGTGCCAACCCTGCCCTAGGACGGGGCAAGTTTATGCTGCAGGGCAGTTGTGGGGCTGGCTGGCATGGGGTCCGGCAGACAGGTTTTTTGCCTCTCCTGAAAGACAGACAGTGGCCCATTCAGAAAACCTGAGATTCCGTGGTGACATGATGTGAGCGTGTTTTCACCGACGCTTTTTGTGACTAGTGCCACTGACTGTGAACTCCCAGGCTGAGTGCGGTGCCGCTCTCCTGTTACCTTCCTTGGTCACCTCCTCATTTCAGAGCTGCAGAGCAACAGCGCACAAGGTCAGTAGTTTAACTGTTCGTGAATGTGGTGCAGCATAAAAATAGGAAGATCTCTGTACAACCAGTACATCTTCATGGGTTGTACTGTATTTCTGAAATTCCACAGCTTATAATAAAAAGGTGTCAGAATTAATAGGTGCCTAAATTACCTCAGTGTATTTACAGACATTCCTGTCTTCCACTGCGTAAGCAGTCTCTCAGTGACAAAAATAATTGATATGTCTTGCTTGGAGAGGCAGCAGAGCCTGTGACTCTGTTTTCTTACTGCTGCAGGGCAAACAGCCGCTGTGTCCCAGGCAGAGGTGTTTACAAGGTGTGCCCTGAGCTGCGCTGGGAAGCTGAAGCGGCCATAAAAAGAGATGTACATAAATCTATACCAGCGAGAACCCTGGCAGCTAGGTTAGCATACTTGAGGGACAGGAACGGTGGTGGCAGGAGTGCTTCAAGCCACACATGTTTCATTACAAGGGCACAGCCTCAGTTTTGTACAGGGCGCTCAGCTGGGACAGATGCAGCAAGCTACGGTTCGTGTTCTTTTGCAAGAGTGGTAGCATTCTTTGGCTCTTGACAAAAAGAAATCCAAGGTAATTTAAATTATTTTAAAATCATAGGATGGTTTGGGTTGGAAGGGACCTTAAAGATCACCCAGTTCCAACCCCCCTGCCATGGGCAGGGACACCTTCCACTAGACCAGGTTGCTCCAAGCCTCATCCAGCCTGGATACACCTCAGTTTACTTTAAAGATATACCTCAGTACACATTAAAGTTTAAATGCATGTATGATAAATACATAAACAGTATTTTCATGCTAGCTGCTGCCCATAGTTCAAAAATAAATGTAAATGCCTAACGTACAGTAAAACTTCTTTACTCTGGTATGGAAAATCACGCCGCCAGGAGTCAGCGTTCACAAAGGAGACAGAGGAGCCCTGTAAAAACCCCTTTATTCGAGTAAAGGGAGAGTCCACTCGGCATATCCCTCTGGGGATTCTGACTGTTTCTTTCCTTCCTCTGACGTCTGGGTTTGCACAGATTACTTTTGTAAAGGCATGCAACTGGTGTTCCTGCCAATCCCTCCTCTTCTATCTGCCCCATCGCTGTCTTTGCAGAATGTGGCAACCATCAGTTTGAATTTGAAAGCAGAAAGCACACCCCCTTGTGTTCCAGCTTATCTGCCCTCAGGTATCAGAGGGGCTGGGGGCGGCTGGTCTTAAATTCTGAGTGATATCCAATTAATATACAGAAATCAGTACAATGAACCCAGATTTATACACCAGAGTAATAATCAAGATCTGATAATCATGTTCCAGTAGAGCAAAGCATAAATTCCAAAGGACCAGATTATCACAGACCAGATGGGGACTTGAATCCCCTTCAACCCAGGTGTTATCCAGACCTCCAAGATAACTATCCAGAGGGGATTCAAGCTCCTAAGATACCTCTTTAGCCCAGCCCCGCACAGCTTCTTGCTGCGTCTGATGGGCAGGCAGGCAGAAAACCAGAACCAATTTTTCCAGGCCCGCTGCCTGTTACCAAACCTGCAGGGGAGTGTCCTCCCTTGTACCGAACGAGCCGAGTGACCGCCATCTAGGTCTCCAATCTCGGGCTTACTGCCTGGCACGGTTCTTTTCACCCCACCGGTTCCTTTTGATTACTCACCAGAGGATGCTTCCCCTCTTCCCCCTGGTCAACCCTCATCCATCTCCAAACAGTCGTGGGTACCCAATCAGTCATCCAGGGCCGGCAGACGTCGAGGGGGACCTGATCACCCCAATATCAGTGAGGTGCGCCGTCAGCCCCGTCCGTCGGTGGAAAAATCACACCACCAGGAGTCAGTGTTCACAAAGGGGATAGAGGAGTCCCGGAAAAACTTTATTCGAATAAAGGGAGAGGCCACTGGGCGTATCCCTGTGGGGTGTCTCCATCTGTGGGGAGACACAGCTCCCTTTTAGCTCGGCCGCAAGAGACCCTCCTCATTCCCCCATCGGCTGAGGTACTCGGATCCGCCTAAGGCATTCGTGTAGTTACGCCCACGTCGTAGATTGCACGTATCTCGGTCAGCTAAAGTCTGATTGTTTCTTCTTTCCTGCCTCTCATCTGAAGTCTGGGTTTGCACAGACTACTTCTGTGAGGACGTGCAACTGGTGTTCACATCGCTCTCAACTCATCGTCAGTGTTTTCTATCCCAGCCTCCGTCATCAGGGCAGCAACATGCTTCTCAAGATCATCGATGCGCTCGCCCATTTCTTCCAGTAAAAAGTTAAAGATAACTTTATTTATAAATAAGAATTCTATAACTTTATAAGGTTTTTTGTTCTGCGAGGAAAGAATAATCAGCTTTTTTCCAGATACCTCTTACTCACGTTCAACACCAAGGTGAAGCAGGCACAAGGCTGTATTAATAAAAGACAATCCTACTTTCTTTTGCAACAGTGAGGCATTCAAGCTCTAAACATTTCCAAATGCCGTCCTGTACACCCACAAGTGGGCTGGACTATTTTCTGTGTATGAGATTGTTTCCATTCCAAGGCATTACTTTAGGTGATACCATGTGGTTAACATATGCGACCAATCATAGAATGGTTTGGGTTGGAATGGACCTTAAAGACCATCTAGTTCCCACCTCCTGCCATGGGCACGGACACCTTCCACTAGACCAGGTTGCTCCAAGCCTCATCCAGCCTGGCCTTGAACACTTCCAGGGATGGGGCATCCACGGCTTCTCTGGGCAACCTGTTCCAGTGCCTCACCACCTTCTCCAGGAAGAACTTCTTCCTGATATCCAATCTAAATCTTACCACTTTCAATTTAAACCCGTTACCCCTTGTTCTGTCACTCCAGGCCCTTGTAAAAAGTCCCCTTCAGCTTTTTTATAGCCCCTTCAGGTACTGGAAGGTGCTATAAGGTCTCAATGTGTAAGAGCTGCTAAAGGATTGTTCTCTTACACTAAAGCAGCTGCTTCCTGAAAGGTCAAATTACAGAAAAAAAGGAAAATCGTAATAAAATCACCATTTCAGAAAGCAGAGGTAGTTTCTGTAACTACCCCTAATGAGAACATTTACAGCCCATTCCAGTCTTCCTCTCTGAGGGCTCACCTTCCCATGCTCAGGAGTCTCAGGGCTGCGTCAAACCAACAACCTGCAGCCACACGCTGATCTAGTGGCATTTTTGAAGACGACTGCTTTTCTGATGCACCTGCAGAACCTTTCCACATCGTCTACGGCTTATTTGATGTGCAAGCAATAATTGCTGCACGGAGACTAGCTCACTAGGAGTCGATGCTGCTTTAGTAGTCATCTTTGGGATTTCCTTCTTAGCAAACAGGCTTGAGGGGCCATCCTGCTGTCTTTGACGTTGCTAAACGCCTGTGAGGTAACCATTATAGCTTAATTTGATGTTTAGAAAGAAAAGCGCATGGCGATCGCAGAGACGCAAAGCCCCTCTCTGCGTCTGCTCGGTGATGCCCGGGGGGGGCGCCAACCCTCTCCGGCGGAGGTCGTAGCCCGCGTCCAAAAGGATATTTCTCAGCGTTAACTTTTCGGCCAGGGCTTGAAATTTCTCCTGTAGCTGCTGCAGCAGATTTTCCGCCTGAGGAATGGGGAAATAGATCGCGGAA